CAGCAGCAGCATCATCATCGTTATCCTCATCATCGGCATCAACATCATCAACATCATCATCATCATCATCACTATCATCATCAGCATCCGCCTCCTCCTCCTCATCATCGTCCTCGTCATCGTTATCGTGACCATCATCTTTCTCCTCGCCAGCGTCATAATCATCATCAGCATCATCAGCATCATCATAATCGTCACCAGCACCATCATCATCATCATCATCATCATCATCGTCGTCGTCATCATCATCCTCATCAGCATCATGATCAGCCTCATCATCATCATCATCATCATCACCATCCGCAGCATACCCATCATGATCATCATCATCATCATCATCGTGATCAGAATCATAATCAGAATCATCATCATCATCATTATCAACATCATCAACATCATCAGCATCATCATCATCGCCACCACCATCATCATCATCATCATCATCATCGTCATCATCATCATCATAATCAGCATCATGTTCATCCTCATCCTCATCATTATCAGCAACATAATCATCAACATCAGCATCACCATCATCCTCATCATCATAACTATCATTATCATCATCGTGATCATCATCATCATCATCATCATCATCATCATCGTCATCATCATGAGCAGCATCAACATCATCAACGTCAACATCATCATCAGCATAACCAGCATCATCATCAGCATAATCATGAACCATCATCATCATCAGCATCATCATCATCATCAACAGCATCATCAGCAGCAGCATCATCAGCAGCATCATGATCAGCATCGCCAGCATCATCATCACTAGCACAATCAGAATCATCAACATTATCATCCTCATCATCATCCTCATCATCATCCTCATCCTCATCCTCATCCTCATCATCATAATCATAATCATCATCGTCAGAAGCAGCAAAATCATCATCATCAACATCGTATTCATCATCCTCATCATCATCCTCATCATCGTCATCAGCATCATCCTCATCATCCGTATCAGGCTAACCCTTATCATCATCATCATCATCATCATCATCATCATCATCATCATCATCATCATCATCATCATCATCATCATCATCATCATCATCATCATGAACAGCAGCAGGATCATCAACATCAACATCAGCATCAACATCATCATCACCACCATCATCATGATCATCATCACCATCATCACCATCATCATCATCATCATCATCATCATCATCGGCAGCAGCAGCAGCAGCCTGATGACTCCTCCTCCTCCTCCTCCTGCCCCTCCCTCCCCCAGCCGCCACCCCCCCGAGCCGGGCACGCCCCCGCCGCCCCGTCGCGCCGTCCTTCACGACGTCGTCCTGCGGCCGCAGGGCGCCCAGTGGCCGCAGGAGGCGGGGAGAGGAGAAGGAGAGGAAGCCCGAGGGGGAGGGGGAGAGGGGGCGAGAAGGAGGGAGGACGGGAGGCACGGAGGGGGGATGGAACAGGAGGGTGGATGGAGGAGGGGGGGGTAAGAGGAGGAGCGGAAGGGAGGAGGGCTAATTGCGCCTCGCTGCGCTCAGAAATAAGCGGAAGCGCGTGGGCGAAGATGCAATCGAAGCAGGACGCCAGGGTACCGAGCATGGCATGCAGCGTAGGCACAGAATGCTGCAGGTCATCGCCCTCATCATGACAATGGACTGGAGAATGGTTTCCGCAATAGTTCGCCACTCGAGGAAGAAGGGCGGCACGCAAGAAAACAAAAAAACGCGACACGCCAAAGCGAGATCGCAGCACCCGGAGGAAAATCTGGACGCCGAGACAGAAGCAGCATTCCGCTCTCCCGCGCGCCTCGCCCAGCCTTCCGATCGGCCTGACACCTGCCGCGCCCAGGCAGGAACGCAGCTTTCCAAAAGGATCTGCGCGGCACGCATGCGGCAGCGGCATTTCGCTCTCCTGGGCACAGCCGTGCTCCCGAGGATTCGGCGAGCGAAAACAAGGCGCCAACCTAGAGGGGAAGCGCAACTTTCAGTGGAACAGCTGTAAGGCGCTGACGCAAGAGAAACGCACATTGGCGCAGTCCTGCCGCACATGTCGCAGCGCCGATATCCAGACGTCAATGCTAAAAAGCGGCCAGCTTAACTACGAAAGTGTTTCTTCAGATGATCCAAGGGAACGGCCCGCTTGTAAACCTCATCTTTAGCACTGGCGAGAGAGATGCGGGTATGTCCTAAGGTGCTAGGATCAGAGTGTGTGGAAGATTTTGTCGCCTGATATACCACTCCTCCTGCTCCTCCTCCTTCTCCTCCTCCTCCTCCGCCTCCTCCTCATTATCCTCGGCATCGTCGTCGCGGTCGTCGTCGGCGGCGGCGGCAACAGCCGAAGCAGCATTAGTAATAATGCGGTTAGTAATAAAAATAATGATAATGCTAATGATGCTATTAGTAATAATGATAATAGTAATGATTTTAATGATAATAATACCAATAATAATAATGATCATCATGATCAGAATCATAATCAGCATCAACATCATCATCATCATCATCATCATCATCACCATCACCATCACCATCATCATCATCATCATCATCATCATCATCAGCATCATCATCATCATCATCATCATCATCATCATCATCATTCATCATCATCATCATCATCATCATCATCATCATCATCATCACCATCAGCATCATCATCATCAGCAGCAGCAGCAGCAGAAGCAGTAGCATCATCATCAGCATAGAAGACCTCAGTAGCAGGGTTCACATGCATCCCTCCGCCCATTTCGGCACACCCATCACACGCTTCGTGGCACGATAGGGAGCTCCGCCGAAGGCCCAAGTCGCAGGGTTCGAACGCGTCCCCCCGCCCATTTCGGCACATCCCTCACGAGGATCGTGGCCCCATAGTGAGCTGCACCGAAGGCCCCAGTAGCAGGGTTCGCGTGCTGCACACCCCTCACGAGGATCGCGGCCCCATAGTGAGCTGCACCGAAGGCCCCCGCGGCATGGCCCGCATGCGTCCCCCAGCTCATTTCGGCACACCCCTCACAAGGATCGCGGCCCCATCGGGAGCTTCACCGAAGGCCCCAACGGCAGGGTCCGCATGCGTCCCCCCGCCCATTTCGGCATGCCCCTCACGAAGATCGCATACCCATAGGGAGCCCCACCGAAGGCCCTAGCGGCAGGGTCCGCATGCGTCCCCCAGCCCATTTCGACACACCCCTCACAAGGATCGTGGCCCCACAGGGAGTCCCACCGAAGGCCCTAGCGGCAGGGTCCGCATGCGTCCCCCCGCCCATTTTGGCACGCCCCTCACGAGGATTGCATACCCATAGGGAGCCCCACCGAAGGCCCCCGCGGCAGGGTCCGCATGCGCCCCTCCGCCCATTTCGGCACACCCCTCACGAGGGTCGCGGCCCTTAAGGAGCTCCACCGAGAGCGGTACCCACAACGCGGCACTCACAAGAGCATATGGTTGGGTACTTCGCCAGGATAATTGTTGCGCGAGTGTTAGTGCGATTTCATGGGCGGCCCCCTCCTCCCGTCCTCCAGTGCCAAGCTGGTTGTTGGCAGCACGCATGCAAAATATAAGAAGTGATGATGCAACGCAGCAGTGGCAAGGACGCAACGCAACCAAATACAATGCAACTGCTGGCGCAACAAGACAACGCATAGTAACATGACGCTGCCTGTTGTAGTAAACAATGGCACGGAAGCAGCGCGCAGCATTGCGTAGCACAGCATATCATATCGTAGCTTCCCTTCTCCTGAGGTTAATGATACAGCGTTGCGTATGATAGCGTAGCAATGTACATCGCGTGAGAAAACGACATATCGTACAATCGCGTATGAACGCCAACGATGTTACATAACAGTGGCAGCATATACCAACGCACGGAAATACGATAGCTGTAGATCGCATAGAATCATGGCATGCCAATCGCCATCATACGCACGAGGAACAGTACAGAGTGTAAGAGGATGAGGAGCCGGAGCCCAGACGCAACGCCTCGTTGGTGGAATTTACACTGACGTCATTCACACCTCCCTCCGTCTCTCCCCCCCCGTCGCCCTTGTGAATCCCCTCTCCATCCAGACATCCACCATCTTCGACGGGGGGCGGGGGGTTCACGGCTTGCCCCCCCCGCCGTCACCCTTCCCCTGGAAGCTCATTTGATGACGGGGTCCCCCCAGAAAGCATTACTGCCCCACTGCTCGGATCTCGACTTCTAGGGCGCACCACTCCTGCTGGCCGGCGTGTTTGACAACTACTACTGGACACAGATTCCGGCGGCTTGCTGCGGCGATGGCCTGCTTGTCACGTCTTTTCATCCCTGCCGCAGCTCGGGGCTACCACCTCCTCATGCTCCTCCTTTTCCTGCTTCTCTGTCCCTCCTCGGCCTCGTCGCCCCTTCCCTCTCCTCCTGCCCACCTCCTTCCTCCTCCCCCTCCTCCCAACCAACTCCCCTTCTCCACCTCTCCCTCTTCTTCCACCCCCAACCCCAACCCCTCCTGCTCCGCCTCACCTTCTACAAGAGGCTGCGTTGTGTCACCCGGCGCGACGCGTGTGAACGCGGGGCCCGACCGCCGACATCGCACGACACGACGATCACCCCTCCTCTGCTTTTGATGTCTTGCGTCAATCCGTGCGCCGGTCCTGATGAGTCCGTGGGTGTTTTTTCCATACTCCTGCGCCATCGAACAAAATCGATGGCGCAGAAGCGTGGGTTGACCCCTCCACACCACCCACCCACCCCCAGCCCGGAGGGTTCCAAAAGGCGTTTTTGGGGAGGGGGTTTTCCAGAGAGCCCCCCACGGGCCCCGATCAGCCGCTCGCGAAAGCTCTGCGGGGTGCCGCGGGGCAGGTCGGGTCGCGGGTGGGTCGCCAGGCGGGTCGAGAGTGTGTCGCAACTTGGTGGCGGGGTGGCTCGCGGGCGAGTCGCGGGGTGGGTCGCGGGATGGGTCGCGGGTGGATCGTGGGAGGGTCGCGCGGTGGGTCGCGGGGCCTAAGATCAAAAAACATGTGCTCGAGGGAGGCGACATCTCCTTAGCATCAGCAGGAGCAGGAGAAGCAGAAGAGGGAGGAGCATGAGAATCCCTCGAGGGGGAGGAGCGAGAAGGAGGAGGAGAGCCCTGGCTGGTCGCGGGGCCAACCCACGAGGTGCACCCCAATGTCGGCTTAGGGGGCCCACGCGGGGGGTGGAGAGAAATACTTCAATACCGCTGTATGCCAGCAAGCAGAGGCGAGGAGGAGGGGGGGGGGAAAGGAGGGTGAGGGGGTGGAGGACAGGAGGAGGGTCTCCAACCCAAGGAGAAGAGCGAGTGACCATCCGCGCATCCGGCTTGGCGCGGGGCAGTTGGGGCCCTCTGGCCGGCGCTGGCGACCACCGCAGGGGGGATCCCTCCGCTCTGCCTGCTCTCGCCGCTGCCGGTCCGCCGCCCCCGGTTTCCGGGCGCGCTGTGTGAGCGGCCGGAGGGCCACGGCGGCAGAGGCGCGCGCACGCGCGACCCCAGCGGGACGGCCCAAGAGCACAAAAATCGCGAGCCAGGCAGTCGGTAACATTCACTCCTGCCCAGGGCAGCCGAGCACACAGCGCACACTGGAGCGGAGTGGAAACGGGCACATGCGGCGGGTCCTCCTCCTACTCCTCCTCCTCCTCCTCCTCCTCCTCCTCCTCCTTCACCTCCTACTCCTCCTCCTCCCCCTCCTCCTCCTCCTCCTCCTCCTCCTCCTCCTCCTCCTCCTTCACCTCCTACTCCTCCTCCTCCCCCTCCTCCTCCTCCTCCTCCTCCTCCTCCTCCTTCTCCTCCTCCTCCTCCTCCTCCTCCTCCTCCTCCTCCTCCTCCCCCAAAACCGGTGCATCTCTTGGGGCACATGCTTACTTCCGCCAGTCTGCGCTGGCGGAGGCGGCCTCGCTTTGCTTCCGCCGCCTTCCGCTGGCCTTCCGCCGAGGAAGGGACGGCAACTCCCTCGGTCCTCGAAGGCGAGGCCGTTTCTGGAGAGCCTCATGTGCTGAGAGCCCTGTACATCAAGCGCAGCACGCGAATCGCAGGAATGGGGAGAGACAAATTGGCCACAGACCGAAATCGGAAGGCAGTGAAGTTCAGGGTATTGGTGTCAGCCTCTGATAGCGAAGCACACATCAAGGGCATCCTGGGCCGTCTTGGGAGCCCCATGGAAGCTTCTGAAACAATACTGACCGCCTCTTGGTGCTTAGGCCGTCTGAGAGGGATCTCGTGCCTTCTGTAACGCCCCTTGGAGGCCTCTACGGAGCAGCTTGGGCTGTCATTGAGGCCCCTCGGTAGCGTACTTCGGGGGCCCATGCAAGCTCCCCCAAAGCGCCCAGTTCGAACCGCAATCTACCCACTATCCCGTTTGGTTTCCCGAGGCTTGAAGAGCTGCTGCCACGTTGCCATTCAAGAACAACGGGAGGAGACCGCGCACCAGACCCGCGCGAGATCAACGCAGGGCACTGGACCTCCACACCTGGTGAAGAGTTCTGGCCCCAGGCGTAGAACAAAAAAAAAAAAAAAAAAAACGTCGTCTCTTCTTTCAATTTCAAGCGTCGACCTGAGTCTGGCGGCGAGCGCGAAGGGGAATTGAGAAGGGGCGGGGCCTTCTCAGAAGGCTCGGAACTCCCCCAGCCTTCTAAGATGTTTCCTGAGCCTTCCCCGATGGCGCAGAAAACCTCTGAGAGGGCCCGAGGGCTTCTGAGAAGTCCCGCCGCCTCTGGAGAAGGCCTTCTCCCTCCCACTTCCCCCCCTCGCTCGCCACCAACTGGTACAGCTTGCACCCTGCTCCAGGGAGGGAGGAGGGAGGGAGGAGGGAGGAGGGAGGAGGGAGGAGGAGGAGGAAGAAGAAGAGGAGGTTCAGGAGGAGGAGACCCGCCTGGCGAGGGGCCATGGGTGAGCAGGGCGACGCCGCCCAAGCCGAACCACCGGCCGAGCCGACGGCGGCGGGGCCTCCACGGACGGGCGTCCTCGGCACGCCCACCGGTGCTCTGCTCGGTGAATGCTACTCGGGGTTGGCCACCACTGGCTTTAACTCAACTCCTCCTCCTCCTCCTCCTCCTCCTCCTCCTCCTCCTCCTCCTCCTCCTCCTCCTCCTCCTCCTCCTCCTCCTCCTCCTCCTCCCCTCCTCCTCCCCTCCTCCTCCTCCTCCTCCTCCTCCTCCTCCTCCTCCTCCTCCTCCTCCTCCTCCTCCTCCCCTCCTCCCCTCCTCCTCCTCCTCCTCCTCCTCCTCCTCCGCCTCCTCCTCCTCCTCCTCCTCCTCCACTCCTCCTCCTCCTCCTCCTCCTCCTCCTCCTCCTCCCCTCCTCCTCCTCCTCCTCCTCCTCCTCCTCCTCCTCCTCCTCCTCCTCCTCCTCCTCCTCTCCTCCTCCTCCTCCTCCTCCTCCTCCCCTCCTCCTCCTCTCCTCCTCCTCCTCCTCCTCCTCCTCCTCCCCTCCCCTCCCTCCTCCTCTCCTCCCCTCCTCCTCCTCCTCCTCCTCCTCCTCCTCCTCCTCCTCCTCCTCCTCCTCCTCCTCCTCCTCCTCCTCCTCCTCCTCCTCCTCCTCCTCCTCCTCCCCTCCTCCTCCTCCTCCTCCTCCTCCTCCTCCTCCTCCTCCTCCTCCTCCTCCTCCTCCTCCTCCACCTCCTCCTCCCCTCCTCCCTCCTCCTCCTCCTCCTCCTCCTCCTCCTCCTCCCTCCTCCTCCTCCTCCTCCTCCTCCTCCTCCTCCTCCTCTCTCCTCCTCCTCCGTTGGCGCTTCACCTGCACCAGGCAGCGGCGCATTCTGGGCCTGGAGCAGCACCCCAAAAATCTGCAGCCACCGCCAGATCTTGTGCCAAGATCTTGCACTCCGGCTGGCGAGCCCAAAAGGCATACGAGCCCAGCCACGTTCACGAGCATGCCCCCCAGCTCGCGAGGCCACCCTACGAAGGCTCTAGCAGCGCGTTCTCTCGAAACCCATGCAATTCGTGTGCGCGTACGTCTTTGTTTCGCTCCTGATGGCTGGCCCCCGTCTCCGGCTCACCGCTTCCCCGGGGTGAGAGCGCCCCGGGGTGGGCCTCAGAGCGACCCCCGAGTGTCTCTCGGGCCCCCAGCCCTCCCCGAGAAGGGCCCCCCGACGGCTTTTTTGACTGTACTAAGCTCGTTGCAAGTAGCTTGAGCGCAGCGGCCAACAGGACTGGCACAGGCTGCACACGAGAAGCCCGAGAGCATGGACGCTGAGCTGCTTCCGCTCTCGTCCCGAAAACTGTCGGGAGAGAGGTATAGCCCCCCCCCCCCGACGGAGGGAGGTGGGCGGCAACCGGGAGGAGAGCCGCTGCGCGGCGGGGCTGCGCAGGGTCCCCCCCCCTCCTCCGTGGGCAGGCCGCGCCAGGCTCCCGAGACGGTCGGCTACACGCAAGAGTGACCCCTGGGCAAGAGTGACCTCAGGTGCGCGGCGTCCTCCTTCTTCTCCTCCTCCTCCTCCTCCTCCTCCTCCTCCTCCTCCTCCTCCTCCTCCTCCTCCTCCTCCAGACCCGAGCGCGCAAGCGAACGCCTGGGGGGACCCCTGCTCGGGGGCGACGATAGGGGCGAATCGCCCAGGTGCGGGCATTGCACGTGTCCCTCCGGGTATCTCGCCGAAGACATGGGCCATCGGCGCCTCTAGATGCATATATGTTGCTCCCCCCTGGGCTTTTCGCCCAGATCGTCGCCTCCGACGCGTGGGCCCACACCACCGGCCACTCCGACCAAGGGGCCCTTCCCAGCCACACCAGAAGAGTGGCCTTTGGTGCGCAGCGTGCGGGGGCCGCGGGGGAGAAACCGACCCCAGGCGCGCAGGCAGTGCCCCGGGGGGACCCCCACTGGGCCCGCGCCCGAGGCCGATCCGGCCAAGGGGCAGCTGCCTGCGCGCAGCCGAGGGGCGCAGCCTCCCCTCCCGGCCCCCACCCGGGCCGCCGTGGCGCTGCGGCGCCCCCCCCCCGTCTCTCGGCCGCACGCGCCAGAGCGACCCCTGCTGCGCAGCCTGCCGCTCGCTGCATGCGGTGCAGCAGCAGCCAGCCGCAGGCCCAGGTCAATACAGCCCTGGATCTGCAGGATCCTGTAAGATCCGGCGCTCTGGCTGGCCCCCGTTTGCCCTGACCCCCCTCTCTCCCAGCTCGAAGCCGCGGCCCAAAGGTCACTCCGGCGACGGGCCACTCGTCGCGTACAGCCGAGGCCCTGCGATGCGATGCGATGCGACCACCGTTTCGGACAGCGTCCAGGCCTGGCTCAGACCAGGTGGGTGAGGCCGTAGCCTCGAGAATCTGGCTTGACTGGATACATGCAATGCGGGACACGAAAAAAGTTAGGACTGGAGGAAGAAGAAGAAGTCCTTGGTGATGGTGTCGGCGCGGGCTAGGCGTGTCGTCTCGTTTCTCTCTGGGCAGTCTCTGTATGTGTGTATGTGTCTTGGTCCGGGGTGTTTGCTGGTGCGAGGTTGGTGTGGTGCAGCCGAGGCCTTGCCAAGAGCGACCGCGAAAGGCCCAGGCCGCCTGCCTGGACTGGCACGCACTGCACCAGGCCTGCACCAGGCCTGCGTCCACCCTGGGGCCTTCGGGGCACACGTGGGTGCTTTCTTTGGAAGCGGGCTGGCCTCCGGCTCCGCGACAACAAGCCTCCTCCTCCTCCTCCTCCTCCTCCTCCTCCTCCTCCTCCTCCTCCTCCTCAGCAAGGAGAGGCCCAGTCCGGCGGGATATGCCGAGCACACGTCGCCTTGCGGGCAGAAAAAGAAAAGCAAAAGGCGTGCACATGGACACCCAAACGCACGACTGACAGAAGAACGAGTCACACGATCATGAATCGAACTAAGAGAAAAGCAGCCAGCTGCGATGGCACACTCAAATTCCACGTTCGCATGTACACTTATGGAGCCCTGGCCCGCCAAGCCCCGCCCATTCAACACATCACGGGCTTCTGACATACAATGTACCATGGCACCAGCTTGCGACATCATGTATGGAGCAGCTGAAACGGATCATTCACAAGATGTGGCGTCAAAGGGGGCGAGCAGCTGCCAGCAGGAGCTTCAACTGCTCGCTGTGTAAGACCTCCGCGACGCCGACCATCCCTGATGATATATGTTCGCCGACAGATCCCCGCGCAAAAGGTCACCGCGTGCGACGTCGGACGCCCTCTGCTCACTTCGAACTGCATATGGGGCCACGACGGGCGCGAACAAACGGAGGCCACGAAGGGCAAACATAGATGAGGCCACGAAGGGCAGCGAGGGGGCCACGAAGGACTGCAAAGGGGCCACGAACGGCAGCGAGGGGGCCACGAAAGGCTGCAACGGGGCCACGACGGGGAGGGATGGGGGCCACGAGGCGCTGCAACGGGGCCACGAAGGGCAGCAAGAGGGGCCACGAACGGCAGCGGGGAGGGCCACGAAGGGCTGCAACGGGGCCACGACGGGCAGCGAGGGGGCCACGAAGGGTTGCAACGAGGCCACGAAGGGCTGCAACGGGGCCACACAACAAACCGAAAAGGGGCCACGAAGGGCTGCAACGGGGCCACGACGGGCAGCGAGAGGCCACGAGGGAGTCCAACTGTTCCACGAAGGGCAGCGAGGGGGCCACGAAGGGCTGCAACGGGGCCACGAAGGGCAGCGAGATCCCCATTCCGAAATAATCACTGCGAGAGTCCCACGCGTGAGCGCGACTCCTGGGTGCCTGAGTTTCGGGAGCGCGGCGCTGGAGTACATTGCGAGAAATTCCAACGCGAGGGCGCTATTCTTGAGTAAATCGCAAGCAAGTCTCCAACGGGAGAACAACTCCAGAGCGCTGAAACAGCGATTCTTGAATTAATTCAATTGAGAAAAAAATGTCCCCAGCGAGAGCACGACTCCTGAACAAAATACGACGAAGTCTCAGGCGGGAGCGGGGGTCCTGGCTCAATTGTGAGGAAGTCTCAAGCGGGAGCCGTTGTTGCCGTTGTTGTAAGCCGGGGGCCAACAGTGTTGGCCCAACACAGCGCGGTTTGAGGATGGAATCTTTCCCAATGAACAAGACAAGGTCCCAGCGCCGGGAGGGGCGCTTCAATTGAAACAGACAATGTGCACCGGAAGGGGATCAACAATGGTTATTCCTCAGCTGCGAGTTCAACAACAACAACAGCAGCAGCAGCAGCAACAACAACAAGCATTGTAAGACCGTTCGTTCTCATATGCTCGCGCGTCATTCAATATGCACACCCCAAACCCTGGATACCCGCCCTCTTCGTATTCGTATTCGATCGTACCCCCTATTGGGGGTATATTTGTTCCCTACCACGCGTGGTTGGTGAAGCCCTTGAAAACGAAGGGCAACAAATAACGGGGGAGAATGCGGACGAAGGGGTCGGAGGAAGGGAGGGGACGGGCAAGAAGGAGGGAGGACGATGATTTGCGCTGCAAGTGGCGATTCAGCTTGCGTCATGGCTTGCGCCAGCCACTCCAACAAAGGTGAACCATGAGTTTCGCCATGGGTCGCGCCATAAGCAGCGCCACGCACCACCCCCTTTGAAAGAACATATCGTGCATACCCCCACGGGGGAACGTACAGCTGCGCACCGGTGTCAAAAACAAATGTCGTGGAACCATGAAAAGAAGCGGGATGATGGGAGAGCGGGGCGGAACGATAGTGAGAACTGCAACGGTGTCGAGAGGAGCGCGGGGATGTGGAGTGGATCGGGATGGGGTGGACAAGAATAGGGTCTCAGGAGGAGGAGCGGCAAGGAGGGGAGAAGAGGAGCCGGGAGGAGTGCGGAGGAGCGGGGGGCGCACGGAGGAATCTGGAGGAGGGACTGGGAATAATTGGGAAAGAATGCGGAATGCGAGAGGGAAGGGGTGGAGATTGTTGGGGTGGGATGGGGTGGCCTGGGGAGGAGTGGGCGGAATACGAAGAACTGAAGAATATCACCATGGAGTACGAACGGATTGAAAATGAAAACAAATGGAGAGAGTAGAGAAGACAGGGGAAGAACGTTGAAAAGCGGGGGCAGGTGGATACGAGCGGAGACTGTTGCGGAAACAAGGCGCGGGGGGATTGGAAGGCACCCGAAAACCTCCTATGACCGCAGAAGGTGGGCCATCGAGCGCAGAAATGGGCCACGAAGGGCAGCGAGGGGGCCACGAATGGCGACAGCGGGGCGACGAAACGCATGCGTATAGGACCACGAAAGTCGCGAGCGAGCGGGGGCCACGAAGGGCAATTAATCCGGGGCCACAGGGCAGCGACGGGGCCGCTGAGGGCAGAAACGGGGCCACGAACGGCAGAGAGGGGCGACAGCGGGGCCACGAAGGGCATGCATATGGGGCCACGACGGGCGCGAACGAGCTGGGGCCACGAAGGGCATTCGCATATGGGGCCACAAAGGGCGACAGCGGGGTCACTGAGGGCGGCAAAAGGGTCACGAAGGGCAGCGAAAAGGCCACGAAGGGCGACAGCGGGGCTACGAAGGGCATGCGTATTGGGCCACGACGGGCGACTGCGAGCAGGACAACGAAGGACATAGAATGCGGGGCCACTGAGGGCAGCAAAAACCACTTAGGGCAGCAACGGGGCCACGAAGGGCAGCGAGCGAAGGCGACCGCGGAACCAGCACGGGCAACGACGGGCATCGAAGGCGGGCGAAGGGCAACGAGCGGCGACTGCAGTCCCTAACGGGCTGGTCGGGCGGGCAGGCCCAGACGGGCGGGTCGAGCGGGCGGGTCGTTGAAGCCTAAATTCTGCTTGAACCGCCAGGCTATGTAGCGGGAGCGCGATTCCTGAGTGTCGAGGAGCGGCATCTGAATAAATTGTGAGGAAGTGTCCGGCAGGAGCCACGATTCGGTGGTAAGTTGCGAAGAAGCCCCCAGCGAGAGCGCAATTCTTCAAACAAATATGGGGAACTATCTAGCGGGAGCCGCGATCCGGTGGTAAATTGCAAGGAAGTCCAAAGCGAGAGCGCGATTCTTCAATAAATTGTAAGGAAGTATCAGGCGGGAACCGCTGTTGTTGTAAACCGGGGGCCAACGACACAGTTTGACCCTCAAGAGTTTCCCTGATAAAAACAAGGTGCGAGCCCCGGGAAGGGCACTTCAATCGAAAAAAAAACAATGTGCACCGGACGGGGGGATCAACAATAAGTATTCTTCAAAAATGAGAGTTCAACAACAACAACAACAACAAAACATCAACAACAACAGCAACAGCAGCAACAACATCAACATCAACAACAACAACAACATCAACATCAACAACAACAACAACAACAACACCAACAACAAACATAACAACAACAACAACAACAACAACAACAACAACAACAACAACAACAACAACAACAACAACAACAACAACAAATATAGCAACTATCAGTTTAAGACGCTCGAGTGTCCAATAACGCGTATTTCCCACACCCTCGATATCCGCCCTCTTCGTCTTCGATCGAACCCCTTGTGGGGGGTATACCTTTCTTCCGTGCAGGCCGGGCCCCGGCAAGCGGCGGGGCGGCCGCGGACCGTCAGCCTGGCCAGCGGCAGCGCTGATCGGCGGGGCGGCCACGGACCGTCGACCCGACCCCAAGAGGGGCGGACAGGGGACCGACCACGACGACGACGACGCCGACGACGACGATGACGACGACGTCGACGACGACGTCGACGACGACGACGGCGACGACGACGACGAGCGAAAGCGAGAGCGAGAGAAAACGACAACAGGGCCACGAAGGAAACGAAATAGGCCACGAAGGGCGACAACGGGGACATGAAAGGAATGCGTATGGGGCCACGAAAAGCGCGAACGAGCGGGGGCCACAAACGGCGACAGCGGGGCCACGAAGGGCATACGCATGGGGCCACAACAGGCGCGAACGAGCGGGGGCCACGAAGGGCACACGTATGTCGGGCCGCGGAGGGAAGCAACGGGGCCACTGAGGGCAGCAACGGGGCCACGAAGGGCAGCGACGGGGCCACGAAGGGCTGCAACGGGGCCACGAAGGGCATGCATATGGGGCCACCACGGGCGCAAACGAGCGGGGGTCACGAAGGGCATACATATACGGGTCCACGCATGGCAGCGCGGGGGCCACTGAAGGAAGCAACGGAGCCAAGAATGGCAGCGAGGGGGCCACGAAAGGCTGCAACGGGGCAGCGAAGGGCTGCAACGGGGCCACGAAGGACAGCAAGGGGGCCACGAAGGGCTGCAACGGGGCCACGAAGGGCAGCAACGGGGCCACAAAGGGCTGCAACGGGGCCACAAAACAAAGCGAGAGGGGCCACGAAGGGCTGCAACGGGGCCACGAAGCAATGCGAGGGGCCACGAAGGGCTGCAGCGGGACCACGAAGGGCAACGAAATCCCGATTCCTACGTATTGTGTGAGGGCGTCCTAAGCGTGAGCGCGTTTCCTGGATGCCCGGGTGTCGGGAGCGCGGCGCTGGAGTAAATTGGAAGAACTTCCCACGCAAGGGCGCTACTCGTCAGTAAATTGCAAGCAAGTCTCCAACGAGAGCGCGACTCCAGAGCGCCCGGAAAGCGATTCCTGCGTACATTACAAAAAGAAGTCCCAGGCGAGAGCGCGACTCCTGCATTAAATGCGAGGAAGTCTCTGGCGGGAGCGGGGGTCCTGGCTAAATTGTGAGGAAGTCTCAAGCGGGATGTTGTTGTTACCCGGGGGGCCAGGGGCCCAGTTTGAGCATCATGACTTTCCCTGACACAAACAAAAAAGTGCGAGCGTGGAGGGGCACACTTTGCTTTAAAAAAAAATGTGCACCGGTGGGGGGATCAACAGTAATTCTTTTTTATACATTAGAACTCAACAACAATCATTATAATACTGTTCGCTCTTATTTGCCCGCGTGTCATTCAAAACGAATTCCCCACACCCTCGATACCCGCCCTTTTTGTTTTCGATCACACCCCCTTTGGGGGGATTTTTTCTCTTTGCGGGGGGTGGCGGGCTTAGACATGCGGGCAAACCTGAACGGGCGGACAATCCTTCGTGGGCGTACAGGTGCCCGTCATTGGAATTGGTGTGGGCCCTGCAAAAAGAGGAGGGAAGAACGAGGGAGAGTGGGAGGAAGGGAGGG